TATAACTGGACACTCTAGAAAACTTAAACTCGTCACGACAAGGAGCTTGGAGTTAGCGCGGTGGGCAGCACGACCATCTTCAACAGCAGAACATGTCTTCCCCAGCTAAACCATTCCTTTCCTAGAACAATCCATAGGATTTTGAGGTTGTTCGCCTAGTGCAACATAAATCCTCAATCCTTTCGTTAGACATTTGTGTAGCTCTGCTGTACGATCTAAGCCCTAACTCGTTTTAGGATTCCGAGGTTGTCATCCTTCACGACTTAAATCCTTACATCTTTCAGACTATTTGTGTGATCGTTTCACACGAATGTAAGCCCTAATTAAATAAAATTGGCAGGATAAAACACTTGAATATTTCTCATCGAAACTGAAGCCAAACCATAGGGTAGACTGGTAAGTCACCGAGGATCTCCTTTAGATCTGTGACACCCCCTAGTTTTTTTTCCTTTGGATTCTGTAATAAATGTTTCAAGTTTGAATCATTCCCTTTTGCACACCTATTTGTCCGATTTCGTTGAAAAGTTCTATCCTTTTTGAAGTCCTTGAAGATAATTTTTTCTTGATTTTTATCGAGAGTAGATTTTTATCTATTCTTAAGTGATTTTGGTCATTTAAGATGTAATTAACTATAGGGGCTTGCCCTTATAGGAAGCTTTTCTGAACCCAATTTAAAATAAACTCTATTTAATTTTTCATATTAAATAAGAGAATTTTTCGGCAAATAAAACAGTTTCGCAGACTAAACGAACGTCATATATATCTTAGTTTATTTGATCGAGTCTCATCCTCAAGTCTTGTGTTTATCCCTCGGGATAGATACAGGGTTTGAGGTAAAGCGTTCTTTCATTTAAACTGTGAAAAATATGGGTTCATTTTGATATTCATAAAAACATGGGGTCAGGTTGATTTTCATATCTTAAATCTATATGTAAATTGAAACGTTCTTCCGAGGCGGGCGACGAGATTTCGATTCCTGTGACCGACAGCTTCTCACGGGCGACTTTTCCTCCAAACCCCCACTTTTCCTCGCCGACAATATCAAACAGTTGTTTCTATGTGATTTTACGAACTGCTCAATTCGAGCAAATTCTGAATACAACCCAGTGAAAATCCTCTTCTCCGTGACCTCCCTAGGCTCGATGTGGTTCGCCGTTGTGCTCGCAATTGCTGTCCTAATTTGGTTCAACTTTCTGCAACCTCTAACACTCCGCTTGTTCAAGGTCACCAACGATAGGTGGGTTCGGTGGTTGCCTCCTTCGCACTCCCTTCCTTTGAATGTATACTTTAAGGGGTTGTTTGGTAGCAGGATTTAAGGATTGTTGATCGGTTTTCTTTGGCCGAGTTTCTATATTTTTTGTTATAATGGTGGCATTTTTTGTCCTTAATAACAGTTTGGTATTTGTAGATCTTAGGATTTTCTAAAGTTGCTTGATGTTTTTACTCGATAGCGTCTGACCTCGTCTCATTACATCATAGGATATCTTTTCTTCCTTTTCAATTGACTTTTCTTCTTTCAACCGTCATTAACAGTGTTGAATTAGTAAAGAAAAAAAATTCCTGGAGACCTGGGTTAAATTTTGCAATTTCTACTATAAATTCTAAGTCAATTTGGTTTATGAGTTTCTTGATGTAGATCGTATCTTGAGTTTATCTGCTAGACATGTTCTCTGAAATTGTTTCAAACCTATATAATTCGCAAGTCATATAAAAAAAATCATGGATCATTACAATTTGTTTCTAATATTTTGGAATTTTAACCAGATTATATGACATATTTGTAAGTCTGCTAGTTAAATAGTTGTATCCATTAGGATGTGAAGAACCATAAAACAGATCAAATTGAGGAAGAACCGATGACTGATTATGGCCAGCTTATCCAGATCAGAGACATAATGATCATTTATCTAGAAACAACTGCAAATCAGTTATTTTTCAAACACACAAACCAAACAACCAGTCAATTTATCCGGATCAGTTGCTGATCAACAGTTTATCAGGATAAACTGTTTATCTGAATCAGTTGGATAAGCTGCAACTGCCCCAAATCGACCCTTAAGCTCTCTAGATTTTTAAAATATTTTAAAATTTGGATTTTTAAATTTTAGGGTATTAGAGCTTTTTTTATTAATTTTTATGCTTTTCAAACTTGAAATTTAAAGTTTAAAATAAAAGTTAATTAGAACTTTTAGATTTAAGTCTCGATAGATAATCGAGCTTTCAAAATTAAGACTTAGGGTTTATAATTAATCCAAAAATTTGGATTTCCTTTTAAATCTAAACGTTTATGTTTGAATCATTTGAAGTGACTGAAGTACTAAATATTTATACTTTTAAACATAACTTAATACATTTGGTTAAAATCAAAGTTCCAAAATTCACAAGGCTAAGCTTAAATTGAAATTCAAATACCCTAATTGAGGTGCTATGTTTGATTTGAATGTCCATCCACTGGATTTGCAACATGTTTACAAGCATACAAAAGACGGTATTTTATAAAGCTTAAAATGAAAATTTTCATGTGAGCTATTTAATTTAGTTCATGTTTTAAAGTCATATGACTTGCCTTAAGACACCAAATACTCAAGCTAAAATAGCTCAAATACATATGTTAATCGTCTTCGCCATCAGATTCACAATGCACCTGTTAGTGACCAGAGGACAGTCCTCCTTTTAAAGCCTAAAATCATATACTTGTGCAAATATTTTAAGCTCCAAATAATTTCAAATTTTATAAAAATTTTGTGGTTATCTCCTAAGTTAAATGAAATATCTTGAAATTTGAGTCGCAATTTTAAGGCTTAGATGAGTACCACTTGAGATACTCATGAGCTATATATGCTTTAAAGTGTCTATATAAACAAACCATTTGCACATTTTTGAATGCCCGCATGTGCTCCAACCAATGTGCTGATTGTTCAACTAATAAGTTCGAGAATGCTGCGCGGGCTAATTGGGCCTCATTGTCTATTGGGCAGGGTTGTAGGTCTGATCCCACTAATCCGATCCTCCTGCTAGCAATGATTGGAGTTGATGAGTCTAGCAGTTTTAAATCCAAATCTAAAATAAGAATTTACAAGTCCAAATCATTCCACTAGTCTAATCCTCCTACATGTAACGATAGGATTTGACAGGACTTATATCTTAAAAAACTTAAACTAACAAAACTATTTATCTCCCATTTAAGTATAAAAGCTTTAAAATGTTCATATCTTCGATGATGACCGTTTTGATTGAATATTTCAAGCGGAGGAGTTAATCTTTAAAATCAAGTTTTTCAAAGTAACCAATTAATTATTTAAGCTAAAATTTACTCCTAAAAGCTAAAGCAAATTTCATACACCAACCGCAACAGTTTGTCGAGGGTGACAAACTGCTGATTGACTTCAACTCACAAAGAGCAAATGTCATATCATATGTTTCAATATATTCACAATTAAAGTAATTGTATGCCAATAAGGACGTGTCCCGATTCCTCTGTTTGCGTGGTTTTGCCGTCAAATGTCATCAAAATGTAGCGGTTACGACCAGAGCTTTTTGATCGGGTGATTGTCGTCAAATGACGCCATTATATTACGGCCACGACCGCATCTCGTATGTTCCCCAAGAGCTTCCTACCCTTTGAGTTGTGAATAATAAATGTACAATTGATTAGCACAAAACCTTCTGTTAGTTAAGGTCGACTTAAATTTGTCTCTTTAGACAAACATTCACCCCAGATCTATAGTGATATCTTGGATGATGCAACTCATGATTACTGATGAGAATCCTTCTATCAGGTTGGGTAGATTACCTCATCTTACTAAGTAGTTCAGGGATCATGACAACCCAGGAAGACGGAACCATAGGATCTTGATTGGGTTTCGTCTTTATTCCCCCACCATTCGCTTTAAGCTTCAAGTGATAAATTCTACAACTTAAATATTGTGTCTGTTATTATTATTTGTTGAATATTCAATTATTAATTATTAATCTTAATCGAAAGTGCTCTCCCGTTATCGGGAGGGGTAATTAATCATAGGGGCTTGCGCCCATAGGAAACCTCAAACCTCATATAAGTCCTCGTTAAATGAGAGCGAAATCTTTGGGTTGTGTCTTATCTACAATCCAATCTGACTTCTAAAAATTTGAACCTCCAAAGCTCTCTCAACAAAACAAAATTAATATAAAATGCAGAGAGTTATCGGGGAGCGATTGTGAATTTTCGGAGCCCACAGGCGCAAGGGTCTGAAGGGACATCGATTGATTTCAAATTCTGAGAACAACTTAAAGTGTGGTGATGTATCAACACCAAATATTTTACTGTCTGACCTTTTACTCCTGAGCATTTCATTTTCTCATATTCAGTTGTGCTTTGAAACAATTGAAGTTGTATTAAAAAAATTTGCAGAAAGAATAATTGGGGCTTGCCCTTAAAAGGTACTTTCTGTTACTCTAAGTCAATCCACATTTTATTTTCGAACTTCAATATTATGTCCATTTCAATCAAAACTCTAGCCATGAAAGGCCTCAAAATTTGAGCGGTCTGCCACTTGTGAAGGTTTATCAAAGATAGAACCCAAAGAGAATGCTAAAATGAATATATTGTAAATTTGAGAAATATAGGGCTGAGACTTCATCAGAGGGTGAGTGTGAAGATTTTTTTTTTTTTTGCAAAATTTAGATAATTAATTATTTAGTATTAGAATTTTTCTTTGTTCTTGCGTAAACCAAATACCTGAGATCTGGTGGATTGACTTGGGCAGAAATGGTTAATGCACCAGCTAGATATTTCGGTTTTCTGAAACTGCTGTTGCTTGTTATCTTTGTATTTGATATTTAAGTCCCGATATTGTTATTTTTGCAGGTGCTACTGAGCTGTACCTTAGTTTCATATTCTATTATGTTGTCTTATTCTGGTGATATTTCTGAAGCTGGTTGATTGGAAAACCCTGCCAGTTATCTTCTATTCATTCCTGCTTATTCCTGCTTATCATCACTCTTTCACTCTTTTCATGCAGGATTTTATAGGACCATATTGGTCTTTACGTGCTGCCTTTGGTCCACTGCTTGAAACATATATTTTACTCGATCGATTATTATTTCTTCAAGAGCATAGTAATTTTGTGGAAGCACAGTTGGTTCCATTATTTGATCCCGCACTGTCACCCAGAAATATGGCAATTGTGGCTCGAAAAATTGATGCAAATGTGGTCATTACATAAAGAGGTAATTGTTCTAATTCTATAGCTTCTGTGTATCCATTTGATCCAATTCTATAGTACTGCGCCGTGACAGTTTGATTTGAGTTGCATAAAATCATTATTTTTCCTTCGTAAAGTAACCTGAACCCTTGAAAAGTGCCTGCTTTTACTTTCTACCAGTGTAATGCCCTTTTCAATATGACTTTGAGTATAGGAAAAACTCACACAGATGTCCTTATGTAAACACATCAATGTTGGGCTGTGGCAATTATTTTCTTCTGATTCTTTTTTATTTTAAGAGGATTACCCTTAAGAAAGATTTTTCTTGAAGCTGATTTATGCTTAAAATGTAAATTTCTACTGTTGTTTAGTTATTTCTCTTGAACTAACATCAGTTCTGCTGTGAACAACAATAGACTGGTTGATATAATGCTTTTGATTCTAAGTTCAGATTATCAAGATACTGATGTAATATCTTTTTCCTTGTAGGAGAAGCTGTGCTTTATAAGATTAGAAGTTACATGGCATTTGTTGTCACAATTATTTTGGATGAGGTAATATTTTATTTTGGAGAATGATTTTTGCAGCAGTAGATCCAGCTGTTTAAGAGATTTGGCTTGCTAAGCAATGTTCATAAGTTAAAATTAAGGTTCTGATGTTTCTTTTCACCATCAGATAGTGTTTCAGAATAATCAGCCTTTCTGCACTTAGAAAAAAAGGTAAAATTGTGGGGTCATTTATAATTCTTCTCAGTAACTCTTTTCTTACACACTTTTATCCTTTTCTTAAGCTTTGTAGAGGTTTATTTTTGGTTAATTGAGGTTCATCAAAGCTTTTTTTATGCATGGTTTAACGTTTGTGGTGATTTCTTTTTATTTGAGGACAATTGACGGAAATATACGTACGATGGAGGAAGGATCCTTTTTATATTGTAAATTTTTAACTTTAAGTTTAAATAATGAAAGTTGCATGCTAACGATACACTTATGAGAAAAGACATTTGTTATGAAGGTTATTTTGAAGGTTTTCAGTTGACAGTTAAGTGGTAGTGATATAACAAAGCTCCCAAGTTTGACAATAGGCATGTAGTATCTTTTATAATACATTGCCATACTTGCAACTCATATGCGGATTGTTATCATTTCATTTTATTTTTGCACATTATTTGGAAGGAAAGGGGATTCAGATTAAGCATAGAAAACATGTTTGCAGAAGTGATATCAGATTATCAAGTTATAAGATCAAATTGATCCTCTGATTGTGTTGTGGTTTTTCTATTTCAGGTCTCTCATGCAGAAGGATAGCTATGTTGACAAAAGGATAGCTATGTTATCTAAATTGAACGGCTTGGCAATAAACAAGGCTCGAAGGATATATAGTAGAAATTTTTTTCTGTAGTTAGAAAAGCTAAAAGGGGGATTTATTTCTAATACCTAAAAATTTATATTTACTTGTATAACAATTAAATCTCACTTCCCACATTGTCCTCCCCACTTTCTCCTCCATGAAGATCCTCTCCATCCCATGTGAAATCTTTCTTTACTCCACCTAACCGCTTCGCCAGATGCTTAATATGTCGAGAGGGAGGGATGGAGGGAGGGACAACAATTTTTTATGAGTTTGGCTTACCGTCACCTTAAACTCGGTACTGATACATAAGATGAATAAGCATGTTTTTTTTCTTATAACATCGGGAGTATCTAATGGTTCTCAAGGTGTCAGCCAAATGCATTGGAATGCGAATGAATAGGTGTTGATGGATAATTGCACCACCATTATTCGAGCTTGATTCAAATTTTGCCTTTTTTCAAGGGGCATTTATATACATAGCCCATGACGCCAAAACTTTCAAATTTACACACACACATCACTTAAATCTTTAGTATCACCTAAAAAATAGCACCAAATCACTTTTTTAAAGTCCAATACACTTGTTTATGCATGGGCAAGGCTTAAAACACTGAACTTCTATGTATGTAAATATGAAAGTTTAGGTGTGAGATATGTAAATACATAAGAATTGTGTGCTACCTATGTAGATTTCCCTTTTTTATAAAAAGGTTGTGATTAGATGTCGATGTGCCTGAGCCACTCTTGAACATAATATGTTAATGATGGCATGATACCCATAATCTGGTAGTGTTGGTTTTTGGGTTTATGATGATCAAAGAGCAGCATGGAATCCTGACTATTTATTTTTGTTATGCAAGCTGTGTGACTGGCTGCCAACTTATGCTTATTGCACCTTGTCGATGATGGAGATCCTTCCGGCCACAGGAAGATATGAGCTCGTCCACGGATATGATAGAATTAGACCAGAATGCATCCTGATAAGAAAAAGGTTAGTCAGGATGCATAATCAAATGTAACGCACCGAAGGTTTTGTTATTTTTCAGCTAATGACATGCATGCCTTTTCTTTGGTACTTATAACCGGCATCTCCTATTTGTGGGAAGTGCATTTTGCATGGAATGATCTTACAAGTTTGGGGCATTTACATACTTACTACCCAATTCATTTGTATTTATATATCTAACACCTAAATTTTATATTTTTATATTCATGCCACCCAAGTCTTTCATATCATATAAACGATACTAACATTTTAACTTTCAAAAGCTGAAATACAATTAAGATTCATGTATAAGGTGGCATTTATGTAAAATTTGAAGTATAGGTGTTAGATATGTAAATACAAAGGAATTTAGTTGTATTTGAGTAATTCTACCTAAAAATTTTGATGTTGTCTGGCCAATGGATATCACAATTAGTATTAACAATGTAAATCTAATCATATATTATTCAAAAGAATTTATGAAAATGTAGCAGGTTTCTTTTTCATTCCCAGGCTGATGAAATATTCAATTTCAATCTACATGATTGGGATTGATTTAACTTATTTTTAAATTACTTTATAAGAATTATGGATATATTTGTAATTGAACTTCTAAGAAACATGCCTTCATGTGTAGAAGCTATGATTCTAATTAATGACAAGTATAATTTTAGTGGATATAAAATTAACTATTATTATTTATTGTTATGAGAAAATAAAGTGGCGTCTAAATGGGACTATTTTGAGTACACTATTATTAGAAAATTTAAGAAACAAATATGCATATAACTTAAGAGTTAAGGTTCAATGTTTAAGGAGTTTTATGTGATAATGTGATGGGATATTGTTGTTGCTTAAACATAAAATATAAAGTTTCAATTAGACTTGAGATTTATATTTTTTTAAAAGTTGAAAAAAAGCCATTAATATTCATGTTGATTATAATATAAGAATACTAAAATGATGCGTGGAATACTATAAGCAATAAAATTAAAAATGATTATGGTTAAGTGATTGGTTTTAGGAACAAAAAACGATGGAGTAACATAAGATCAGGGAAGAAAAAAAGTAACACATTTGTATGTGTAAAATTTGAGGCGTAGGGGTTAAATATGTAAATACATAAGAGATGTGTGGTATATATGCAATTTTTTTTTATTATTCGGATTGCACTAAGGGTGTAAACGAGCCGAACGTGTTCGGCTCGTTTATATTTCGAGCTTAGAAAGCAAGTTCGTGTTGGACTCGTTTGCTTAACAAGCCGAACACTAGCAGTTCACGAACAAAGAATCATTTTGAGAATCCTAATCATATAATCAGAAGATGTTAATGATTGAGGCAAAATTTAAAACATCATTTGAATTTAGTTTAATAATTTTTATTCTATTTTCTACATTAATACTTTTAATTGATAATAAATCTTTATAGTATTGTAGTCAATTAATTTATTTTAACATACTATTCATCAAAGATATATATATAATTGATTAGTAGTATTTCGATTCAAAATGAACAGAACACGAATGAACAAATATTTATTTATATCGGCCCATTAAATTAGTAAAAAAGCAGGAGAGAGCTTCTTAAACAACTCACTGGAGCTCGGACTAACCATCTCAGCTTTATTTCGCACGCAGAGCTTTTTGAGTGAAATGTTCAAGTTGTCAAAACTCCTCTTTTCTTCTTGCCCCATTTCGTCACTATTGTGGCTTCGAAGAAATGATTTCTGCTTCCCTCTTTAAATTGTGCAGCTTCCCTCCCCAAAACCCTCGTCTTCTCCTCTCTTCTTCTCCGAAAGTTTCAGCTCCACACTCAGTGCTGGTCTCGTCCAGGAAGCTGGGAAGAGTCCGGTGCGAGTTTGACATCAAGGGCAACGGCGCTCTCTCTAGTGATACCGACCTTCGAGCAATAGAGAGGGTGAGTTCCATGCTTTCCTCTCCAGAGGTCATGTAGATGTCCTGCAGTTGATTGGTTGTCGAAATCCCTTTCTTACTTCCTTTGTTTATCAGTCCAGTTGCATGACTTATTGTGGGGGGATTTAAAGTTTTAGTGTATCAATGTTGTTAGGTATATTTAGGGCTGATAACACATTGATGACAAAGTTTGTCTAGTACAAGCATGCAGATGCAGATAAATATAGATGAAGATATTGTTTTAAGCATTATGTTTTTATTTGTACTGCTTCACTCTTTTAGCATATGATAAATTTTCTAAAAATAGAAATTAGTGGAAGCTTGGATGAAAATAGGATATGGTGTATTTGTATATGCAATATGAAATTTTGGATCTTTTTTAAAAGCTGAACTTTGCAACTTAAGTTTTTGTGTAGTTGGATGTTCACTTGGACTATAGTTCTTTGGGAAAATATCCAGGTTTTGTTAGCTTAAAAAATTTGACCACCATCTTCTGAAATTGTTATTTCTCTAATTGGATACTTCCTAGAATTGCATTGATATTTCTCAATTCTTTTTTGTCAAAACAGTCTAATTTGTAGTAAAACAGCCAGTCAATAACAAAAAGAGATGATTATGCTTAAATTGGCTGTGAGATATGAATTTATTAGAAAAATTGAAGTTTTTTCCCCTGATTGTATGTATTTCCAGCCACAATTACTAATGGATAATAAGTAATATAGAAAGGTAGTTTATTGTCAACCTGTGAGTAGCTGCATCTTGAATGAGATGGGTTTAGGGTTTGCAGTTTCCCTAAAGTCATATCTGAAAGTCGTAGCAGGGAATGAGCCAACTCTTAATTCTTTTATTTTCATGGATTCAACAAGCAAGTAGGCTAAGTAAAGGTAGAAGCGCATCAAATTATATCTGGCCTTATTTTGACAAACTAACTGTGATTTGTTTATTGATTTACAGATCTGCTTGCTTAGAGAAGCAGCGTTCATTTTAGTTTGATTTTCTTGGCCTTTTTGAAAATCTCATTAATGAACCCTTACCATATCTATTATGGGTCCCTGGAACAGTTCTCTTTCTAACAACCAAATTTCATTTGTTCCAACTCTTGAAGTTTCTATCACAATTTCGATGCATAAATAATTTCTCCAGAATTTATACTTTATATTTATAAGCTTCTTTGACATTCTTCGAGTTTTGTTTGCGAAGAATTTGTCTCTGCTACTCAAAGGTAAAAAGATTATTTGTCTTACTATGTGTGTGTGTGCAGAATTTAGAAAATAACTATCATTTTCATGGCAGCAAAAAGCACTGGAAGCAGCTATGAATGACATCAATAATTCATTTGGGAAAGGAAGTGTTACAAGATTAGGCAGTATGGGCGGCGCTTTAGTGTATGTTCATATTTCTTATTTTATCCATTGGAGCTACCTTTTGGAAGAATATTTGTACTTTACAGTTCACATTGTTCAGTGAGACTTTCCCAAGTGGCTGCTTGACATTGGATTTTGCTTTGGGTGGTGGTCTTCCGAAAGGAAGAATTGTAGAGGTACGTGCTTCATATCATATTTGTCATCTTCAGCTTACGGGAGGTTTATTTTATGCCTTTAATCATTATGATGCTTCTTCATCTAACTTCTCTGATACTTTTTTAACATTAACCTATTGAATTGAGATGTTGGAAAGGTTGGATGAAAATAATTTCTGGCAGGTTGATTGACTTGGTTATATTCATAATATTTTCTGCATCAATTTGCCAAATTTTAGTAGTATCCAGCAGGACCGTAAACTAGCTGTTTATTTTAGTTTCATGTTTCTGGTTGCTTATGAAATCAATCTAAAGTTGTACTTTATCTTTAACTAGTATTATTGACTTTTTTTGGCATTTAAAACATCAAATTCTTGAACTATTCTGCATCATGTCAATTATTTTCTCAACAAGCCTGTTACTGTTGATTTCATCATGATTTTTCACATCCTTTTGGTAATTTTCATGCAGAGATTTTAACTAAGTAAAAGCTATAAAAGAAAAGCTTTTGTTGTCCCTTTATCGCGCCATTTTGATTATATTAATGTATTAATAGGCTTGAAAAAACTTAATTAGGGTTTTTATATCCCTTTGTGTTGAAATATGCATTTAAGTATTGTTCTTTCCAGTGTGTTGTGTGTATAAGCTTACTATGAGTAGATAGGAGGTTTTACTTTTGAATTGAAATACTTCTTATTTTTTCTTTCTTTCGAGGGAAAAAAATGAAAAATCATTGAAAAAAAAAAAGCTTTTATCCCTTTGATGAAGCGTACACTTGTCATTTGCCTGAGAAAGTACGACTAGATGAGGTAGAATTATGTACTCATAACATGATTATTTTTAATAAGTGTTTTAAATTTTTCTATTTTATAAGAATATATCTAGGCATTTTGTTCAATAGAATGACTTTAACAAGATTTTGAAGCTTGAATGTAAGGAAGCTGGCAAAATTTTTCTTTTATCTTATTTAGTGTTATCTGTTGGTGATTGTTTAATATCCTCAAAAGCATTCCACTTGAATGAATTAGTTTGAAAAGTAAATTATTCACCCTTTCTTAATGCACCACTTGATCGGAATCCTAAAATGGAGTTTAGCTTTTGATACGCCTCGGCACAAAATCAGCAAACAAACCATGACGAAATCGCAATAGATAGGTGAAAAACACAAATAAGGCCTATTATTACAACAAGTAAAGGAAAACAAGCAAGATACAATGCTGATCTTCTATTCAAGTGGTAGATCATCTCTCTCATAATTTAGACGTCACTAGGAACACCATAAGATGAAAGAAAATAGTAGCCACAACAAAAACATGCATAAAAAAAGAGCAAAAACTTATGTTCTCCCGTTAATAGAGTCCCTTCCCAGCATTTCAAAAACTTTCCTTCCTAACTTTCCCTCTAAACTCCCTTAATTTCTTCTCGTTGCATAGGTGATTATGGCCTTAGTGGACCCCACCCCTCCAATTCCTTCTTCTGCGAATTTCCCTGTTCGCCTCGCTTCTGTCTGTCGCCAAAACCAACTGCCTGTGGGCTGGTAATGCTATCTTCAGACGGTCTAGGGAGGAACGACTTACCTTCAACTAATCCAGAGAGGCTCGACTTCTCTATAGGATGGAAATTGCTTTTGGATAACCTTGTAGGCCTCCCATATTGATTCTTAGTCTGGTAGCCACTTCCATTTGACCAATACCTTCTTTGCTCCCCTTACTCTTTGGCGCACTCCTTTGATCTATAATGGCTCCAAAATCACCTCCAATTCTTCTGTCAACGTCGGCGGTAGTGTAGGTGAGGGTGTATGATCTCTAATTGCACGCCTCAGCTGTAATAGATGGAAGACCGGATGTAGTGCGGACGATCGTGGTAACTTCAAACGATAAGCCACTTCCCTGATGCATGTCATCACATCATATGATACATATTATCATGGTGAAAGTTTCTCGCTCCTCCTTCTGGCCAATGTCTTATTTTCATAGGGCCTCAACTTCAAGTAGACCATATGCCTTGGTTCAAATTGCACATCTCTTCTTGTGTTCATCCAATTTTCTCTTCATGATTTATTGAGCTCTCAGTAAATGCCTCTTGAGCTCTGTTAATATCCTCTCTTTTCCAAGTACTGATCACGCTAGATATTGGTGTGGCGTCATGCCCATAATGTATCAAGTGAGGTGAATCTCGCCCGTATAATATCTTGAAAGGGGTGGTCTGTGATGCAGTGTGGTACGCATGTTATACCAATATTCGACCCATGCAATCCATTTGGCTTATAGTTTCAGCATATCAGAAACAAAACAACACAGATATGTCTCCACACTCCTATTGATAACCTCTGTCCGTCCATCAGTATTGGGGTGATATGCAGTGCTCCTCTTGAGGATTGTCCCCTTGCAACCTGAATAGTTCTTTCCAGAAGTGGCTGAGGAACAACTTGTCTTTATCCGAAATAATCGATTACTGTACTCCGTGCAGACAGACCACTTCCCGGATAAACAAGGCCGCCGGGTAGGGATGTCGTAAGGGAATGAAATGTGCATACTTACTCAGGCGATCAACGACCACCATGTTCACTGTGAACCCTTCTGACCCTGACAATCCTCTATGAAATCCATCGTCACTTCTTTCCAAACCTATCTTAGTAATGTTAATGGTTGTAATAATCTTCCTGATACTATGGTCAAGTACTTGTGTCGTTGACATATATCACATTTTGTCACTATATCCTTGACGTTTCTACGCATCCTTACCTAATAAAGTTCTGTTGCCAGATGACTGTAGGTCTCCTGCACCCTTGAATGTCCCCCTATTGCATTGTCATGAAACTCTTGCAATAATCTGAGAATATACTCCGATGACTTGGGTAACATTAATCACCTCTAGTGAAGCAGTTGCTTCCCCCCTTAATGCATATCCTGGATGACTGTTCGGATCTTGTAGTGATTCAGCTCTTATCTTCCTCAACTCCTCATCACTTTCGCTCTCCTATCTTAAGGCTTCCCAATCTATGATCAGAGGTACAGATAAGTACGTCAATTAGGGTTCTTGCACCTTTTTCGACAGTGCGTCAGCTGCCTTGTTCTCCAATCCTAGTCGGTACTGAATCTTGAAATCATGCCCTAGTAGCTTGGATAGTCATATCTGATGTTCCTCAACCAACTAATGCTGCTTCAAAAGATACTTTAAACTCCTCTGATCTGTTCTAACCAAAAAAATGTCGCCTCAACAATTAAGGCAGCTACTTCTGAATGGCCAAGAGGATGACCATCAATTCCTATTCATATACTGACTTTAGCCTCGCTCTAGCTGTCAGAATCTGGCTGAAGTAAGCAATCGACTGTTGATCCTGCATGAGCACTACTGTCAATCCATATCTTGACGCAATTGTCTCCACCACAAATGGCTTACCGAAACCTGGAAGTGCTAATGCTGATATGCTAGTCATGGCCCTCTTCAGATGCTCAAATGTCTGTGTTGTTGATTTCCCCCAATTGAAATTGTCTTTCTTCAACAGCTCCGTCCATGACCATGTTATCTTGTCATTATCCTCTCATGAACTTCCGGTAGTAGCCTGTGAGTCCCAAGAATCCTCCAACTCCTTCAAATTCCTTAGCAAGGGCCAATCAACCATAGCCTCAATCTTCGATTGATCCAAGACTACCCCCAGCCTGGTTACCACATGTCCTAGGTACTCCACCTTTAACTGAGCAAAAGAACATTTCTTCAAGTTAGCATATAATTGGTGCTTGCTCAACGTCTCCAGGACTGTCTGCAGGTGCTTCACATGCTCTATCTCTGTGCGGCTCTAGATCAAAATATCATCAAAGAAAACCAAGACAAATTTCTGAAGATAAGGTTGAAAACCTCTATTCATGAGGGATTGAAATGTCATCAGGGTGTTGGTGAGACCAAACAACATCACTAAGAACTCATAATGCTCTTCTTGCGTTCTGAATGTTGTCTTGTGCCTATCCGTTGACTTCATCCTAATCTGGTGGTACCCTGATTTAAGATAAATTTTTGAGAAAATACCTGCCCCATAAAGCTCATCTAGTAAATCATCAATCACGGGAATAGGAAACTTGTCCAATACAGTTTCTTTGTTCAAAACCTGTTAGTCCACGTAGAGTCTCCAACTAGCATCTTTTTTCTTCACCAACAGGATTGGACTGAAAAAAGGGTTCACACTAAGCCTGATAATTCCAGCCTCGAGCATCTCCCGAATCAGCTTCGCTATATCATCCTTCTGAATCTGGGTGTACCTATATAGTCTGACGTTGATGGGAGAAACACCCTTTTTCAATGTAATAGCGTGCTCGTACTCCCTCTGAGGTGGTAACCCGCTTGGCTGTTGGAAAATATCAGTAAACTGCTATAGAAGTTGCTCGACCCCTTTCGGAAACTCTGCCAACTCTGAATCTCGAACCTCCTCAATGCTCTGCAACTCCACCAAGTAACCCTTTCCTGCTCCCCGAATCAACTTGACCATGGTTTTGAGTGTCACCATGGTTTTGATTAAGCTAACATCTTTTCTCAACACCACATTTTTACTCCATCGTCAAGGACTTTCAATTCACCTTCATCTCTTCTAAAGTTCGCAACCACTTCATCCCCAGAATCAGATCTGTGTTGCCCAAATCTATAGGAAGGAAGTCTTACGCCTCCTGTAGGCCATGTAGTGTCAGAACCAATCCCTTGCAAATTTTTCAACTTTTATCCACCTTCCCTGTCCCCATAATGACGCCAAAGCTCTCTGTAATTATCAGCTTTAACCCTAGATTCTCCACAACCTGATCTAAGATAAAGTTATGTGTGGCTCTGCTATCTACCAACACACAATTGATTGTTCCCCGATCCATCCCCTCGCCTTCATGGTGTGATTCAAGGTAAATCCCACCACCGAATCAAGGGAGACAAGGATTTGAAGGATGCGCTCCTTGCAACGGTGTCCTGGGGTGTATTTCTCATCACAACGGTAACACAATCCCTTGACTCTTTTGTCTTGCACTTCTACATCTGTGAAGCGT